TACTTATTTAAAGGTTTATAATTAATAACCAATCTAGGAATACCACGTTCCTTTTCAGCAGCATTATTAACATAAAACGTTGTGCAAGACCAAGGAGATTTTGAGGGTTTTATCAAACCCTTTTGTAACAAATTATCAATCTCTTTTTGTAGAATTCTATCAATTCAGCGTTCATCTGACAAGGTTGAGATTTAGTAGGAATATCATCCTCAGAGAAATTATCTTCATATGGAAGAGCGACAATATGCTTTTTTCGATTCCAAAAAGTACTAGGATGCAAATATCAATAGCAATTTGTTCGAAAATTAATCTAATCTTTTCCTATACTTTAGTGGATTTTAAAGTGTCAAATATATTCATACTAAATAATTCTAATTGTAACGAATTAATATGTCTTTGCTTCATATCAATTAAAGCATTTATATCTCTAGTTACGAGATCTGTAACAAAAGTGTAACTTAACTTTCTATCCTTATAAGTAGCTGTAAAACCTTTTGAGTCTATGCTAGTAAAAAGATAAATAGCGTTAATAAAAGGTGTTCCAAGTATAATTGGAGGGTATAACTGATTTTTAACCAAGAAAAAGAAGTGAGGAATGCAGACTTTATTCTGACAAATACCCATATTAAGCAATTTATACTTTATATCTAAAGCATGTCCTGATGCAGATTTAACCATATGAGTAGTTTTTTGAAAATATTTAGTAGGTACTAAACCTTCTTGAATACAACTAACATCAGCTCCACTATCAATCATAGCAATATTTGTAATAGAAAACTATTATCAATTAGAATAGTACATTTGATATACTATTTATGGGCAGTAACAATTTGCATCATTCCCAAAAACATATCATGTTTAGAATCAAGTCTAATAGGTTCTTTCTCAATATCATTTTCAGAAATACCTTTATTTTTATCATTAGAAAACTCAGTTACAGAATTATTTTTCTCTATCTGAGTAATCATGTGATCACAAATCATTTGATTTTGTTTAAGAGATTTAATCTCCCTTTTTAAACTTTTAATTTCAACCTTTAAATCATCGAAAGATGCATCTCTGGTTGGTGTAATTTTATTATTATGTCGGTTATTAATTTCTGACAAAGAATAAGGCGCCGAATATTCAAATTCGTTCTTTTGTTTTTCAAAAGGTTTTGAAGAACTAGAACTTAAACTTGCAGCCAAATTTATAATTTTTTCACGAAGTTTATCATGAGTAACTTCTTTTAAAAGTTCTATTACATTATCAGATGTAATAGTTTTCATGTTCAAATCTTGAAATTGCGATTGTAAGTTATAAAATTCATCATCATCACAAGTACATGTATTACCTTTGCAAGCTGTACAAGTATTATCATATTTTTATCACTATCAGATAAATCAAGTAAATCGACTTCAGCTTCAGATTCTGACTCAAAATTATAATCAGATTTTGATCAAGAAGTGTATAACAAACCATAAACCTTATCACGTAACTCATCGTCTAGTTATAAGGTTTTCAGCTTTTGAAGCTTACAATTTGGAGCTATATGGCCAAAATTTTCACATTTATAACACTTAATATCAGCAAGATCTCGCTTAGACCTATTTTTCGTAAATCTAGTAGACTTGCGATGAGCTTTCCTAGCATCACGCTCTTCTTTGGATCTATATCTCGATCTCTTTTTCTTATAAGGACTGTCTAGGTTATGCTACCTATTTTTCTTTTTCTTGCTATGAGCAGAAGTCTCGGGTAAACCGAACTGGGTGCAAAAGTCTCCTAATTGTGATTTTTCCTTAAGCTTATTTAACTTAAGTTGTCTGGACAATTTTAACTCATTACACAAGTTTAATCCTTCTTGTGTGCATACTCCTATCAATTTTTCATAGGTATAATCTTTGTACGAAATTTTTCCGTAACTACCCCTTAGAGTTTTTCTTACTCTTTCAGCAAATAAGGAGGGAAGGCCATCTATAAACTTAGCTTTCCAATGTTCATACTTATTTTCGGGTAATTCCATTACTCTACTCATAAAAGTATCTTTATACCATCTAAACTCGCTTAAGGTCCTACATCTAAGGCCATTTAGCAGAGTACGGACAGTCTCGTTCTGATTGGTAAATCTACCATTAAAATATTCTAATATGGTAAGAACAAGGGTGTAAACAACATCTTCTCTATTTTTCACTAGAGCCATACCTAAGTTATCGACTCCTTCGTCAGTGGCTATTACATTAATAACCATCGCCTTTTCTTCAGTACTTAAATAATTATCTTGAGAAATTAAATTATTAATTTCTGCAATGCTGACTGCAGCAACATCTTCATCAATAAATTTTTGAAATACAGTAAATGTAATACCTGTATTATTAGGTAAAACAAAAGGTACTTGAGGTGGGTATATGACTTTAGTAATATTACCACTTCCATCTTTATAAGATCTTTCTAAAACCTTTATGTAAAGCGGTAAATAAGTGGTTATAAACCAATGAACAAAATACATAATTTGATTATGTAAAGCAGAAGTTTCATAAAATTCTTGAGAAATATTATTTAAATCTTCTTTACTATAAGTATCAAAAAATTAAGTTTTAAATCGGTTCCATTTATTACTAAAAAAAAAATCCTTTTGAACATATTTTCTAGCTTGTGACCCTGGACTAAAATCTATTTGGTGTGGAATCATTAAACATCATTGGGGTTGAAATCCATTTCGGATGCAGAAGAAATATCCTTATCAGAAATATTATCATTATCCTGAACAATATTTGTTTGAGGGTTAATCTTAACCCTTTCAACATGCTTATCACTTTTAGTAGAAATAGTATGTAAAGATGCAGAACGATTTCGAGTTGGTCCATAGACTGGTTCAACTGGAGAAATATGTTGAATTGCAGATAAAAGTCTATGATTGGAAAATGAATGCCTATTATAATTAGGACTAATAGTAGGCAAAAGTCTATTATTAGAAAATGACTGCCTATTATAAGTGAAACTATTATCATCAAATTGAATGCAAATCCTACCATCCGGATTTTCAGTAATATGAGAATATTCAGTATTACTGACAACATTTGTTATTTGACTTGGGAATATAACTGAATCCAAAGTCCAAGTAGTTGGGAAATTAATTTCTTCCCACTTAATAGGTCTTCTTGCTTATTTGGGTCGGTTGTTCCGTTGTACTTAATAATCTCAGGCATGCGGAACTTCTTAGGGATCGGCTTTGGAGCTGCGCTTGGAGGAAAAGAATTTTGAACAAAATTCTTGGAATCCAGGCCTTTTAATATCGGCGGTGCCCCTGGATTTGGTCGACCCTTGAATTGTAGGTTTCCACATTTTTGTCGTTGGCTTCGATTTGTTTCTCTCCCGATTCTACCCGTTTTGTCAGCTCCTCGAGCATCTTTATGATATCGGAGTTGGTCCCCAATTCATTTCCATTCGGCCTCTCCATGACCAGTTTATTTCTGCGGGTGACTTCCGGGGATGGCACGGGCTCAATTCTGCTTGGCACACGGCTTTGGTTCTACAACTGGGCTATCGCTGCCTGTTGAGCCTATAACATTTTGAAGATCACCCACAAATTGAACCCATCACCTTCACCGATGTGCGTATTTTGGGCAATCGATCCCCTGGGGACGCTGTTCTCGGGATCGGTAGGCAAATTTGTATTGATGGCCACATGCGAGCTAGCGTCGATCGGGTTTGCGGCTGGAACTCTGCCGAGATCGACGGGGGGCACCTCGTTATTGGGTGCTACATTGTTGTTCTCGCCATGGTTGCCGGATTCGGCATCCACGTTTAGAGGGGCAGACCGGGAGTTCGACATTTCAACTTTAACCTGGAATCAAAGATACTCCAAAGAAAAAGTGTAAAATATGGTGTGTTATGGAAATTTGTATCAAATTGCCGCTATTATCCTTAGCCCCACGGTGGGCGCCAAACTGTTTACCCTCAAAATCGGATCACAATTAAATTTGTAAGTGGTTTTAAGGATACGCGAATTAATTTGATACAAAGAGATAGATTAAGTCAAATTAAACAAACAAAGATAAAACAGATTCAAACTACACGAGGGGATAGTTCCAGCCTTAGTGAAATATTTATCCTAGATTCGGGCTCGCTATGGCCAGCACTGATGAACAAGAGAAAGAGCTAATAATAGAGAAAATAATAATATATTACTTTGGAGTGCGTGTTATTATTTGTTTAATGAATTATCAGACCCCCTTTATCTAGTAGGGGAATCCTATTCTAGGTACAACTCTATGAAAAGTAAAAAATCCTCTGATTAACTGATTGTCGGTTCTTCACCGATACTTGTCGAGATTCTCGCCGTGATATCCGGCCGGTCACTAATATTACGGCCTTTCGTTGGCCGTGATCGATTGCCTAACAATGTTCTTCGAAGTCGTTCAAGGTTAAGATCGATTCCGAACTGTGATCCCGATATTCTCGAGGGCGGGCGTTATGCCCCCGGATTCTGACTCGATGAGACTTTTGCCTCGATTTCGGTCCCCTGTCATCATGTCTCGAACTTAGCTTATTTTGTCAGAGATCGGAGTGTACCATGAACCCGATTTTACCCGTATACCGAAGCTAACTAACTTATATATGACAATTGACAGATATGGAGTGGATTGAGCATTTGTCAGTTAAAAAAATAAAACGACGGCCGGATTCCGTCACCCAGAGCGTGTTTAGCAACCACTAATTAAAGATGGAGTGGACTTTGAGGAAATTTCACTGCATACAACTTGCAGGTCTCCTCATTCCAAAAATGATGTTGGTGTTGAAAATTAACCTATACGACGAAACATTATAAGTTCTTATGCAGGCATTATTCAAACATGATGTTGGTGTTGAAAATTAACCTATAAGACGTAACATTGACTTAATTATTTGGTTTATAAAATAGATTAAATTAAATAAATATAGTTGGTGGCCACGGCTTGGACTTCTACTTATCTATTGAATTCCATATTGGACCCGAATCACTTCATATTTTGGGGATGGACAAAAGAGAGTCCATTAGATAAGGAAGACTTAGCGTGAGATGTATGGCTCAACTGGTATGCCTCTGATCTATCTTACTTTTAATTGGTTCTCGAAATGATCTGGAATTTTTATAAAAAAATTAACTAACATTTGGTGCCAATCATTAATTGATAGCGTCTCCTTGGAGAGCACTCCTGAACACATTGTTGCGCTAGCTCTTGCTTCTGGGGTTCAATGTTAAATGGCTGCTTCTAAGGAATTGTTAGTCATTTCCATTAGGTGATTGGTCAATCAGCTCTGCTTTCCGTTAAGTTTAAAATTTTAATAATGATCAATAATCTAAAAGAAGCCTTAACTAATGACATCTCTTTGTGTGCAGTAAGCAACAATATTGATAAAAGGAAAGAAAATCATATTCAACGGCTATGTATTTTGAACTTTGCTTCTCATGGAAAATAAATCAATCAGTCAAAGAACAAAGAAGAAAAGTTAATCAGTCAGCCTTGTCAAAGATTCTCAAGAGCGCAAGAATGGAAAGAGAGCTAATCACGGCTAGAGAGCAAATCCAGAAGAATCTGCAGAAGCTCAAATCAAGGAGAAATGGAGGAAGCAATTCATCAAGATTAACAATGAATCTAGCTACCATTTCAAGCTAGATTCATGAGACTACCATTGAGTCTTTCTCTTAGATGTATATGTCTCACAAGGAAAGGACTCCTAAAATTGCTGCCATACAATCCCAGAAGACAAAGAAACAAAAGACTCGTCAAGCTATAAAGGAAGAAGTAGAAGAACATCCAAATGCACGCAACTACATCATTTGTTTCTAAGCCTTTCTAATTCTTAGTACAAACATTATATTCCCGAGTCTACAAGTGTCACAAAAGATAGGAAGAGTTAGAACACAAAACGAGAGTTGTGTCAATATTGGAAAGTATCATTGTTGATGTATATCGTTGGTGGTGAACGTATTAAAACCATCACTGCTGTAAACATTCATTAAAGATCTAAGAGAACCCTTGTGACCCAAGGGAATTGGACGTAGGTACTACACCGGTACTGAACCCGTATAAAAACTGTTGTGTCTTCTTTACCTTTCTGTTTCGTTAGTTTATCTCCACTGCAATCAATCACCGCACAAAATCTAGTCGACTAAATTCATACTTAGTCAACTAAGATTTTAAATAGATTACAATTCACCCCCCCTTGTAATTTCACTTTCATCATCTTTTCCTTATTATCTTCTTCTCTGTAATCATTGTTAGGCGTATATGTATTATACATGTAATGAGTGTGATTATATCTCCCATTCAGCTTGAACCATGCATGTGCAAGAAGAGGCGAATCTAGGATTTAAGTTTTATGGGTTCAACTTTTAAGATTTTTAGTATTGAACCCATTGTATTTTTAAAATTATGGGTTGATATTGCTATTTATTGTAATATTTATGAACTTTTACACATAAATTTATGTTCCACATTAGATATACTGGATTCAGTTGAACCCGTTGCTGATACATTACATCCGCCTCTGTGTGCGAAGTGTATTTGAAGTTGAAATTGAAAAAGGATATTTGATTCAGTTGTTGTTTGGATATGGGAAAAAAGTACCTGTCCACTATTTCAAACTTCAAATTCTCTATTTCAAATTTGAAATTAAAATAAAAGACCAAATTGATAAACAAACACTTTTATCCACTTCAAATATTGGAAGTTTTATCTATGTCCATTTAGAGATGGCAGAACCTAGTAGTGACTGTGCATAAAAGCTCTTTCACTAGCCAAAATCTTTGGTTGCTGTGCTGCTAAAGTCGAATTCGAATACTGGTTATGCATAAATTTTGGGGCTGACTTTGGATACTGAATTCATAATCTACACTCTATTTGTACTAAGCTAGAGAGTTTAGGTTATTTATCATATTCTTTAGTCATCTTTCTTTGCAACTATATATCAGGATATTGGAGAAGGTGGAAGTTAAAAGTATAAGGGGCCTGATCCTGAAAATGCTGCTACTCTAGTAAAGCAAGTCTTGGATGCTAATACAGGGGTGAGATGGGATGATGTTGCTGGACTGGATGAAGCAATGAGGCTTCTACATGAAGCAATGGTACTCCCATTGTTGATGCCTGAATTTTTCCAGGTTCTTATCTTTCTAATTAGAGTTTATGTAATGTAGTAATAATTCAAATTGTAAATAATTTTATAGTATCAGGTTAAGTTGAGTATAACAACTAGTAACTCTCGTTATTGTAAATAATTTTATAGTATCAGGTTAAGTTGAGTATAACAACTAGTAACTCTCGTTATCAAGACTAATATTGTAAAGTGGAAAATAGATTGGATTTAACTTTCTTTGTTCTCATGGGAGACAGACTCTCCCGCATCAAGGTTTTACACTAAGGGCCAGTTGCTTTCATTATCTCGCTTGTCCTTAGTCCGTCTAGCGCCTTTTCATTAGGTTCCGCCGTGAGGGTTAGGTTAGGCAAGAAAGGGATTGGATAAAGACTGGTTCCAATAGGGGACGTTTATGCCATTACCACATGATAGTAGGAAGAAAATGCATAGGAGTTGTTAAAAGGTCCCATGTCAATCCACTAGAACTAAACTTTCTCGCTAATTTCTTTTACGCTGTTATTGTAATTTCACCTATTCCCCAACTTTTATAGGATTGAGGCGTAGTTATTGTTAGTGCTATTTCACCTATTGTAGCAGGTTAATTACTTGCCTTATATATTATTCAGGTTACTAATGTCAGTTACCTGTAATAATATATTGATGAAGCACCTTATTTCCAGATTAATCTTTGAGACAATGACTACTTGTAGGGAATTAGGAGACCTTGGAGAGGAGTTCTTATGTTTGTTCCTCCTGGCACAGGGAAGACACTCTTGGCCAAAGCTGTTGCTACAGAGTGTGGGACAACATTTTTCAATGTTTCTTCGATTAGTTCGATGCTTGTTTGTGTATGGGTCAAAATCTATCTTTAGAATATTTAAGCCAAGATAATACTGAGGGAAGAGTTCCCAAGTCGTCGTTTGTCGAAATGGCCTGAGAAGCGGCGAAGTCTGTGGTCGAAGAGTCAACGAGAGGTGTAGTCAGGGTGTCAACATAGGTCGAAGTCGAGGTCGAGGTCCAGTATCGTTGACAGAGCTATAACAGCTAGTTTTCAAGATCGGATACTAAAGAGAATATTCTAGTGGATATTCTCTGTACTTATACTATTAGGGTTTCTTAGGAACATGTCCCATATAAATAGAAAATGAGACAATAATAGAGGACATGTGATATTCATTTGTAAAGAACACACTTTGACTTAAAGATTCGACTCTCACTTGCTAAGATACAAATATCACATTTTCACTGAGATTCTTGTCCATACTTTTCCACTAGATCCGAGAATAACTCGAATAATCAAAGGATTGTCTATCATTCATTATTGTCAGGAAGAACATCCATTTATTCCATCTTTTTTTGGGTGAATCATTCCCTCTATTTACTAAAATGTCATTTATTGTTGTTCATTGTTATTAAATGCAACATTATCAATTCTGATTTGTGGAATGCTTACTACACATCACTGTAACACTGACCGACCACATTTGTATGATATTTATTGCTTCTTTAAGAACCTCATCTAAGGATATTATTATTAGCTAAGATTAACCCTTACTTACATAAATCTAATTATTTGAACCAAGATCCATATATTTTTTAGTCAAACAGTTTTAACTTGCCCATGTTCATGCTCCAAGTACAATTTTCATTGATGAGGTTGATTCTCTTTGCTGTGCCGAGGGTAATACTTTTTTCTTTCTAAAGTTTTCACATGCATATGCCAACAAAATTAAATTTCTCATTGTCTTGCTGTTGTGTTAAGGCTTATTTTCATATGACTATGGATATATTTGACTTCTAGGCCATGTCACGCATCTGCACGTCTTTCTTATCATTGGCGGAGCCATAAATTCTAATAAGGAAATTTGAAAAATTTTGTTATAGTGCCACACAAATGGGATTCAAACCTACAACCTAAAGCAATCTAGAAGTTTCCTGATGTCAAGGGGATTCAACAATTTTATACATATCTTAAATATAATTATTCACGTAAAGAGATCCAATTGAACCGCCTTCGGACTATGTAGCTCCGCCTATGCTTGTACCTAGACTTTCAATAATCTAACAGAACATGATTGTGAATTCAATTATCTGAAGTTAAATTGTTTAATCCTAGTGCTAAAACTTCATCAACTTTGCAATTGAATTTCTCAGGGCTTCTGGCGCGCATGAAGTAACCAGAAGGGTGAAGGCTGAAATTCTAATTCAATTAAATGGATTAAACAACTCCACTAATAAAATTGCAGGTAAACTTGAAACAATTTTAGCAGCAACAAATTTCCCTTGGGATCTTGATGAGGCACTAAGGTTAGTTTTATTCCTGTTCCTATTCATGTTTGCCTTTGTTTCTGTTTGTTGAACACATAATTAAATACATAAAAGTGGTTAACGACTTATCTAAACTTTTAGAGAAGATGGTCATATAATTTAACACTGTCCACTTGGTGGATCCAACTCTCCTTCATTTCCTAGTCTCTTCATTTCTCCAAGTTTCTACTTAGATTTGAGACACTTGTCATGGTTAAAAATTAATGGATGAGATTTAATTAAATAAATTAAAACACTAATCATGGTTAAAGTATTTAATTTTCTCCTTTATCTATTTTCAAATAACATCTTTTACAATCGAATAATTATAGCTACACATTATCTAACATTCTTTCTCTCTTTCTTGTAGTAGTTTTCTTTCCATGAGTTAATTATTTTTCACTTCTACAAAATCTTCTTACATTCTCATTAAAAAAATAAAAAAAATATGAGAAGAAAATTTCAAACATTTGACAATAAAAATTAAAGAACGGTACAAATCTACTTTGAGGAAAATACAAAATAACAGAGAAATGGCAACTCAAGTTGAGCCTCAAAATGGATTTGTATCGTTCTTTATATTTTTTTTAATCAAATGTTGGAATTTACTTCTAATATTTTTTTATTTTTTTTTAATGAGAATACAAGAAGATATTTTAGAAGTGAAAAGAAAAATTAACTCATGGAAAAAAAATCACTACAAAAAAAGAGAAGGAATATTAGATAATCTTAGATACTACTACACAACAACTTAGAATAAAGCAGCATGTTATAGATTACAAAGTAGCATCTCAAAAAGCAAAGAATAAGAGCAGTAATAAGCAAAAATAGAGGGGGAAAAATGGTAGAATTATAGCAAGTTTACCGTTAAAAGAGACAAAAAATATTATTTGAAAATAGATAAAAGAAGAAATTAAATACTTTAACCATGAGTAGTATTTTAATTAATTTAATTAAATCTCATCCATTAATTTTTAACCACGATAAGTGTCTCAAATTCAAGTAGGAACTTGAAAAAATGGAGAGAATAGGAAATGGAGGGAAGTTAGATCCCCAATTGGTGATAGGAAGCAACTTGAAAAGCGGATCTATCTTCCTGATTTTGAGAACGGTAAGGAGCTTATCAAGATAAACTTGAAATCCATCCGGGTAAGCTCTCGTTATTGTTATGTTGGTTTCTTAATTTGATAGTATTTTGTGCTTCTTTGCTATAAAAAATAACTTCATCTGTATTTTCATCACATATCTCTAAACATTCGAGGGATTTCTTACACAAATATTCAATTAGTTCAAACTTGTTCGGTATATGAATAAGCATTATACTTAAAAATTATGATTTCACAAGCGAATATATATATATATATATATATATAA